GTGAAGGACTATCGCGCTGCGTCGGCCAGCAGATGGTAAGCCTTGACATGTGCGTGTGTGTGTTTCCCACCTCCGATGCTGTCCTCTTCGGTAATTATATCCCTCACCGCGGTGGCTTGAGCCTTATTATTCGGATTTCCTACGCAGGAGCAGGCACCAGGGCAATGATTCCAAGTGTATTTACTCCCAGCGCGCTGGGCACCCGAGACTTCAGCCGGGGCAGCAAAGTCCCTCAGCCTTGCACGCCAGAGGGTGGGAGTCGCACTAGCACACTAGCAGTAAAGACGCACACATCATCACCGTCCTCTTCTCTTCTCTTTCGGGTTGTCTGAGAGGTCTCTTGGGCCGTCTTCGGGGCCTCTGGGGCCGTCTTGGGGCCCTCTCCATGGGCGTTGTGGGCCGTCTTGGGGCTCCCTTGGGGACCTCTGGGGCCGTCTTGGGTTGCCTGAAGCCCAGAAGGTGGGAGCGTGACAGCCATTGAAACAAATGATATCGATCGATTTGGTTGCTTCGGGCCCTCCTTGAGGGTCGGATGCCGTCTTGGGGCAACACGGGGCTGCCTTCGAGGCATCTTCGGCCAGCTTCGAGGCATCTTGGCGCCATCCTGGATCCTCTTGGGGATGTCTTGGCCGTTCGAGAGGCCGTGGGTCTCTTGGAGGCCGTCCTGAGGCCGTCTCGGGCCAGAAAGCCATCAGAACATGTAGGTTCGGGGCGGCTGATGGGATCGGCCAGAGGCCATGGAGAGCCGCTTGGGAGGGACAGAAGTGGGGGCAGCTGACGCTCGTTTTCCGTAGACCGCGGGTCACCGGGGATGCCGCGGCCAAGGGTCCGAGGCGGGAATTCATACATGACCACCGCCTGGAGGATCAATGTTTGGGGACCTGGGCAGACGGTGGATATGGATAGATTCGGGCCCCCGGGGGCCAACACAGATCCATATCCACCGCCCGCTGGGGCACCAGGATGTCGGTTCCCAGGCGGTGGATATTGACAAACCCCCGCCTCACAAATGGCGAAGGGCTCGACGGCACGTCGGGCCCCCCCCCCTGCACTCGGCACCCCATCCAAGAAATAATTTCGAACACCCAGAAAAGTGTCAAAAGAGTATCGAAACAGTGTCGAAACAGTGTCTCCCAGGGCCCGACACGTGAAAACCCTTGAGTTTCGATATTTTTTGGCCGCTCGAAATTCTTCCTGGTGATCAAGGCTAAAGTAGGCTGGAACATCATAACCCTAGCCACACTTCGGACCTGAGATCGCCGACCTCCTCCTCGTCGCAGGTGCCGCCGCCGCCCGCGCTGGCCCGCCCCCCCCCCAGGAGTGCCAGGGCGTCAGCGGCGGGAAGGCGGGCCCCGACCGCAGGGGGGCGCCAGGGGAGGCAGGAGCAGAGGGAGGAGGAGGGAGGGAGGGAGAGAGGAGAAAGGGAGGGAGGGAGGGAGGGAGGGAGGGAGGAGGAGGAGGAGAGGAGAGGAGGAGGAAGAGGAGGAGAAGGAGGAAGGAGGAGGATGGAGATGATGAGGAGGAGGAAGGAGGAGGAGGAGGAGGAGGAGGAGGAGGAGGAGGAGGAGGAGGAGGAGGAGGAGGAGGAGGAGGAGGAGGAGGAGCTAGTGCAAGCGGAGGACTGCTGCTGCTTTCGTTTATACTGCTCGCCGACGTGCTTGACGTAGTGGTGCTGCTGGTTTCGGTCGTGCTCGTCACACTCGTGGTGCTGCTCTCGTTCGTACTGCTCGCCGACGCGCTGGGCGTGGTGGTGCTGCTGGTATCGGTAGTGTTCGCTACACTCGTGGTGCTGCTTTCGGTCGTACTGCTCGAGGACGTGCTGGGCGTAGTGGTGCTGCTGGTACTGGTCGTGTTCGTCACCCTCGTGGTGCTGCTCTCGATCGTACTGCTCGCCGACGAGCTGGGCGTAGTGGGGCTGCTGGTCTCGGTCGTGCTCGTCACCCTCGTGGTGCTGCTCTCGGTCGTACTGCTCACCGACGTGCTGGGCGTAGTGGCGCTGCTGGTACGGGTCGTGCTCGTCATACTCGTGGTGCTGCTTTCGGTCGTACTGCCTTCCGACGTGCTGGGCGTGGTGGTGCTGCTGGTCTCGGTCGTGCTCGTCACCCTCGTGGTGCTGCTCTCGCTCATGCTGCTCGCCAACGCGCTGGGCGTAGCGTTGCTTCTGGTACCTATCATGCTGATCATACTCGCGACGCTGCTATCGGTCGTACTGCTCGCCGACGTGCTGGGCGTAGTGGTGCTGCTGGTCTCGGTCGTGGTCGTCACACTCGTGGTGCTGCTCTCGGTCGTACTGCTTGCCGACGTGCTGGGCGGAGTGGTGCTGCTGGTAGCGATCACACTCGTCACATTCGTGGTGCTGCTCTCGGTCGTACTGCTCACCGACGTTCTTGGCGTAGTGTTGCCGCTGGTACCGGTTGTACTCGTCATACTCGTGGTGCTGCTCTCGGTCGTACTGCTATCCGTCGTGCTGGGCGTGGTGGTGCTGCTGGTATCCGTCGTACTCATCATACTCGTGGTGCTGCTCTCGCTTGTATTTCTCTCCGATGTGCTGGTCGCAGGGGTGCTGCTGGTGGCGTTCGAACTCGTGATTCTCGTGGTGCTGCTCTCGATCGTACTGTTCGCCGACGTGATGGGCGTAAGGGTGCCGCTGGTACTGGTCGTACCCGTCTTACTCGTGGTGCTGCTTTCAGTCGTAGTACTCTCCAGCGTGCTTGGCGTAATGATGCTGCTGGTTCCTGTCGTACTCGTCATACTCGTGGTGTTGCTTTCGGTCGTGCTGTTTTCCGACGTGCTTCGCGTAGTGGTGCCGCTGATACAGGTCGCACTCGTCACACTTGTGGTGCTGCTCTCGGTCGTGCTGATCGCGAAATCGCTGGGCGTAGTGGTGCCGCTGGTACTGGGCTTACTCGTCATACTCGTGGTGCTGTTCTCAGTCGTACTGCTCGCCGACGTGCTGGGCGTAGTGGTGACGCTGGTACCGGTCGTACTCGTCATACTCGTGGTGTTGCTCTCGCTTGTACTGCTCGTCGACGTGCTGGGCGTAGTGGTACCGCTGGTACTGGTCGTACTCGTCATACTCGTGTTGCTGCTTTCGCTCGTACTGCTCACCGACGTGCCGGACGTAGTGGTGCCGCTGGTACTGGTCGCACTCGTCATACTCGTGGTGCTGCTCTCGGTCGGACTGCTCACCGACCTGCTGGGCGTAGTGGTGCCGTTGGTACAGGTCGCACTCGTCATACTCGTAGTGCTGCTCTCGGTTGTACTGCTCGCCGACGTGCTGGGCGTAGTGGTGCCGCTGGTACCGGTCGCACTTGTCATACTCGTGGTGCTGCTCTCGGTCGGACTGCTCACCGACGTTCTGGGCGTAGTGGTGCCGCTGGTACTGGTCGCACTCGTCATACTCGTGGTGCTGCTCTCGGTCGTACTGCTCGCCGACGTGCTGGGCATAGTGGTGCCGCTGGTACCAGTCGCACTCGTCATACTCATGGTGCTGTTCTCGGTCGTAGTGCTCACCGACGCGCTGGGCGTGGTGTTGCCGCTGGTACCGGTCGTACTCGTCATACTCGTGGAGCTGCTCTCTATCGTTCTGCCCTCCGACGTGTTGGGCGTAGTGGTACCGTTGATACTGATCGCACTCGTCATACTCGTGGTGCTGCTATCGGTCGTACTGCTCGCCGACGTGCTGGGCGTAGTGGCGCCGCTGGTACCGGTGGCACTCGTCATACTCGTGGTGCTGCTCTCGGTCGTACTGCTATCCGGTGCCGCAGGTATAGGTCGCACTCGTCATACTCGTGGTGCTGCTCTCAGGGGTACTGCCCTCCGACGTGCTGGGCGTAGTGGTGCCGCTGGTGCCTGTCGCATTCGCCACACTCGTGGTGCTGCTCTCGGTCGTCCTACTTTCCGACGTGCTGGGCGCAGTGGTGTCGCTGGTACCGGTCGCACTCGTCATACTCGTGGTGCTGTTCTCGAACGTAATGCTCGCCGACGTGCTGGGCATAGTGGTGCCGCTGGTTTTGGTCGCTCTCGTCATACTCGTGCTGTTGGGTTCGGTCGTATTGCTCTCCGACGTGCTGTGCGTAGTGGTGCCGCTGGTACCAGTCGCACTCGTAATACTTGTGGTGCTGCTCTCGGTTGTACTGCTCGCCGACGTGCTGGGCGTAGAGGTGCCGCTGGCACCAGTCGCACTTGTCATACTCGTGTTGCTGCTTTCGCTCGTACTGCTCACTGATGTGCCGGGCGTAGTGGTGCCGCTGGTACTGGTCGCATTCGTCATACTCGTGGTGCTGCTCTCGGTCGTACTGCTCGCCGACGTGCTGGGCGTAGAGGTGCCGCTGGTGGTCGTACCCGTCATACTCGTGGTGTTGCTCTCGGTCGTACTGCTACCCGACACGCTGGGCGTAGTGGTGCCGCTGGTACCGGTCGCACTCGTCATACTCGTGGTGCTGCTCTCAGGGGTACTGCCCTCCGACGTGCTGGGCGTAGTGATGCCCCTGGTGCCTGTCGCATTCGCCACACTCGTGGTGCTGCTCTCGGTCGTAGTGCTCACCGACGCGCTGGGCGTAGTAGTGCCGCTGGTACTGGTCGCACTCGTCATACTCGCGTTGCTGCTCTCTATCGTACTGCTAGCCGACGTGCTAGGCATAGTGGTGCCGTTGATACCGGTCGTACTCGTCACAATGTGGTGCTGCTCTCGGTTGTATTGCTCGCCGACGTGTTGTGCGTAGTGGTGCCGCTGGTACTGGTCGTACTCGTCATACTCGTGGTGCTGATCTCGATCGTATTGCTCACCGACGTGCTGAGCGTAGTGGTGCTGCTGGTACCGGTCCTACTCATAACATACGTGGCGCTGCGCTCACTCTTGCTGCTCGGCGCTGTGGCCTCGTCTCCCTCTTACTCAACCTCCTCAGCCCCCTCCTCAACCTCCTCGACCTCAGCCTCCTCGTCTTCCTCCTCCTCCTCCTCCTTCTCTTCCTCCTCCTCCTCCTCCTTATTCTCCTCAC